TACTGTATCGAAGAAGAGGACGAATGGTTTGGTAAGGTTGGCTACAAAATGGGTGATCTAATATATTCTAAAGCAAATTCTGCCGAGAACTTTAGACGCAAGTGGAAGTAATATTGGACGATAACTTTGATGTTCTTAGCTAAAATTATATCTTTTGCTTAACCAGAAGCAGGCCCGACGCCCGCGTCGTCCTCCCCCTGGGGCGACTCGGGCGGCTAGAAACCTAGCCGCCGCCGCCGCAAATTTCCTCCTCCCCTTCCTCCGCCGCCGCCGGAAGACGCCGCCGGGCTAAGCCCAGGGGCCGACGGCGGTGGCGGGGGATCTCCTCTCTCGCGCGTCTCTGGGGTGGGGAGGACCCCAAGGCGTGTGGTGGCGCGACCGATCTGAGATCTGCAGCGCGGCGGATGGCGGCAGGCGGCGGGAGGCCGGCCCGTCCTCGGACGGCGACGGCTTGGCGCGGCGGAGGCCAGGGCTGCTGCGCTGCGGATGGCCCTTTGGGCGGCGGCGGCGGCTGCGTCAACGGCGGCCGGCTTGGCTGCGCGGCGTGCATGCTGCCTTCAGATCGGACAACGGCGGCGTGGAGGGCCTGGTGGTCTCGTCGGCGGCACCTCCGATCAGATCTGTTCTGACCAGTGCAGCCGGCGGCGGTGGTCATCTCTTTCGTCAGAGGTGGTCAGCCTGAGGCTGGGTGTTCGGATCTCGGGATCTGTCATCTGGCACCAGCTGCGAGTTGGGGTGACGTAGTTGCCGGTGAAAACCGAGCCGACGGCGGGCGATGGCGGCGTTCCACGTCGTTACCTTGATGAAGGCATCGTCATGTGACTACCGTCGACCCACTCGTATTGCTCCGGGGGAAACCCTAGGATCTGGTGTTCCAGACCGGACGATGGCGGCACCGCGGTGTCGTTTCTCTCTTGGGAGCGTCGTTTTGTGGAGCGGCGCTGGAAGTCCGAGGCAGGAGGTGGAGCGGCTTCGTCTTGCACGGAGCTTCGGTGGAGATGTCAAGTCATGCCTGACCGACAGGTGCTACGCTTGGTCATGCCTGGTCGGCAGGTGCTACGCACGACAAATCCTCCAAGGGCTTCAAGTTGTGTCGGCTGGTGGTACGTGGCAGCATGGTGCTGAGGTGTATCAGTGACGACCGTGACGTGTACGGCTGTTTGCGCGCAGGGAGGAGGTGCTGTTGGGCGCCGTGGTGGCGTCGACGATAGCTAGACCGAGCAAGGTCGATGCATCAGTACAGTTCTGAAGATGGAGCAGTGGCAGTTGGCGGCGGCGGCCTCTGAGAGCACGTCGGACCAGTATGTGCCCCAGACCCGGCAAGTGGCTAGCTTGGGGGATCAGGTCTTAGATGTTAGGCTTGGCTGCGATGTCTATTTGGTATTAGGCCCAGGCTATTTGTGCCCCTTCATCAACTGGATAGGTGTAGCGACAGTTTGTTGCTTAGACGGCGGCTTTAGTCTTACTGTTGTATGACTTTGTAAGGTATTGTGAAAATGATTAATAAAGTGGCTGTATGCATCGTCCAGATGCAGAGGCCGGGGGTCATCCTCCTTTTAAAAAAAAAGCTAAAATTATATTATTGGACATAATAAATGGAAGAAACAAAAAGAGGGGAAGTGTACAATATATACGGACGACATAATACTTATTTTCTTCAGAACATCCAAATGGACATATTGTTGGACGAGAATTCCAATGTTGTCAAATTATAGGATGACTCACACAAGACCCGTTTCTTGTCCCCGCTTCCAAATTTTGTAGTTGCTGACTTGCTGTCTACCTCAAACTTTTGGAATGCATCTTGGTAAATCCAAGATTCATATTATGTAGGAGTATATGACAGTCATACTAGCAAGAGGGGCACAGGTAAAATTATCTTGGTTTGAACTCCAAAAAAGATCCTAAACCAAAGTCATCAAAAAACACTTCCAAACTCTTCTGTTTTCCAAATCCCTCCCAAGATATACAGCACCAATCGACACATCTAGTACTAACTGTTAACTCCTGGAAGCACACGGCCACAGCCGTATCAAAGAACCTAGCAAGGATTCAGTAGGAACAGTTGAGAAACGAAACGAATCGCCGAACCTCGGGAGGATTTGGAGATGCTTTCCTTTCATCCTCGCTGCCCCTGGAAAAGATCCGAACTGTTAGATAGAGGTGGTTTTAACTTAGAGACATCTGCATATAATCTCAACCTCCTATCCTCATCTTCCTCCCCCACAAGTTTCTCTCTCTCTCTCTCGGCATCGACAAGGGTGGAGCTCTTCATCCTCATCCTCTTCAAGCAGGACAGAACCACCATGGCCGGGCTGCAGAGCAGGAAAATCACATTAGTAGTAGGATTACTTGGTCCAATACCTTAAGAAGATTTATTTCATTTTCTACATGACTTCCAGAGAAGGTAAATAGTTTGTGCTGTGTGCCTCTGTGCCTAATCAAAGAACGCAGCGCCCATGTTCCCATGATCACCCACTTACGGCGTGTAGTGGTGCAGTTAGAAACAGTAGTGGTGCTCGGCACCTGAGGTTCTCTCCTGAATAAATACGGCTCAGCAAGATCAATGCAAATGTGTGTTGTGTCCCACTCTTCTTCAGGAATGTTGATGTTAAAAATTCTCATCACGCAGAAAAACAACTGCACCTGCATAATAGCAACCCCCGCCCAAATCAAGAGGGAAGTGTACGTTCCACCAGCATCCATACGAACCGCAACCATCCATGGGCGCCAAATGGCGACTCGTTCATTAAATTACCTGGTATCTGATGCGCCTGCGTTGCAGCTCCGAGGCGAGTCTCTGAAAAGTGCAGAAAAAATGGCACTTCTAGCAGCACCATTTACAATTGGGCGGCAACTGGCAAGGCAGCCAATAAGATCAGCAACAGGTACTAGGTCCAAATGGCAGCTCGTCCATCAAGTTAGTCATGTATACGTCCTTGCGCCGTGGAGAAAATTTATTCCGAGCTTAAATGGCGATAAGGACAGACGTTTCTTAATGAGCACATAAGAGTGAACTATGTTTGTGAACTATGTTTATCTGCATAAATTTGTGAACTATGTTTGTACCGCATAAATTTTCATCTGCGGAGTACCTGTCACCTCATCTGGTAGCCCAAAATTATATTTGTGAACTATGTTTTAAACAAGGAAATTATCTGTGATGTAACTAATACTATATCAATCTATGGAACATTGAATTCCAGAATTTTGCAAATAGCGTTACAAACCTGATGGGGATGAGCACCTTATGGAGATGGCTCAAGGCGTAGGGATCTAAGGAGAAAGATGAGATCAGGATGAGAATCTTTAGACGAGAGAAAAATTAAGTGATTTTTCTGAAGTTCCCATATTTCAATACTAAAGGATTAATGATGCTAATAGGGCTGGTACTTTTGATTGTAAATTTCTAGGTTGGCCAGTAAAATGAACATGTCACTATGTCAGTCTCATATGCCAAAATAATAATACCAATCTTTTTTAAAAAATTCGGCAGCAACACTACAATCTTGCAAACAAAAATTGACTATCCTCTTTCATATGTGGGGGTGGGGCCATCACTATATGAGCCGCCACAGGGAGGGGGGACGAGGAGCTGGAGAGGCTTAAAAGAAAAGAAAAAATACTAATCCATTAGAGACGAATAAAAACTGACAGCAGTAATTCATCACATACTTCACTACACTGTGATCCTTCTGATGTTAATACATAGGAGTCCAGCAGTGAAGTAACTAAACTTTATAGACCAGCGAACTTCAGTCAGAGAGAGAAGAAAGTAACTAAACTAATTTATTTTCTAATAAAACTGTTTAGTAGGTAATGGTGCCGACTACAGAGTTGGTACTTAGATGACAATTCCTTTTCTAATAAAACTGAAACAATGTCAAGATGTGCACCTTTGGTTCAAAGGCAATGTTGGATGACTGGGACTGAACCTTTTTCTCGACAAATGCATTTGAGAAACCGGGCAGGGAAGGTGGCCTCACCGTGGGGAGCTGGTAGAGTTGAAAATGTTTAAGTGGTATCTTCTTGATAAATCGATGTCACTGCATATCAATATCAAGGCCAAGGCTTCAATGACACTGTATTTTGCTTCAGGATGACACTGCACTCATGTCAATAAGAGATTAAAATGCAACGCCTCATCAACTGATTACAGTCCTAACCCAATCGACAGTTCTGAACTACTGTAATGCATCACTTGATTGGTCTTGAATCAATCGATCGTGACGAAGGAAGTGAGAAAGCAGCACACATTATCGCTTCTTCATGAGCGGCAGAAACTGAAAACGCAACGCCCCTACTGAACTTCATTCAGTGGCACATCATGGTGAATGAAGGTAATGAGCATACTGTCAAGGGGTGGCCAATACAGCACTCTGAAAACATACTGACACTCAAACAACCGAGTGAACTTCACTCGTGGTGCCTGCCACCACAGCAGAAATATTTATTTAGGATAGACAACACTCAGAGAACAACAACACTAATTGCTTACCATTAACTCAATTCAGGTACAACCTCAGAAGACCCGAGAATACTCAAATATTCAGACTCTTGAGCCAGTAAATAAAACCGAATCCTCAAATTCAACTCACTCAAGGTACGGGGATGTGATCCACCACAACACTCACAAGGTTGAATATGGTCTTTACAATTTACAGCAACATCGTTTCCACATTGAGTTGCATGCAGCACAAAGTCCACCAAACAAAAGGAAGGAAGTGTAGTTAGGCAACAGAAACCACCACTAACCGTTGAGTGGAATACTCATCTCACGCAGCCTAATGTAGAAGAACATCACACCGACAACGTTGCAGAGCAAGAACGGATGGTCATTGTTCTTCCTTGCAGCTAAGAAACCTTTGCGTCCATCTGTCATGTGGCGTCATTGATATGGAGTAATACTTGTAATAAGGAATGGCCCAGGATTTCATTGAGCAACAAGCGCAACACCTCGTGGCCTGCCCAGCTTGAATTCTTCTCACCCCATCAGAGCCTTAATACGCAAAATGTGCACCAATATGGGAGGAGCAAAATGTGCTTGATATTGCAGCATAGAATCTGACAATTGTCATAAATTGTGTCAGTCAGTCCGTCAGAGTGGATGGGTCTTTTTAAACGGAAGAGCATGCACAGGTATGTAAGCATACATCCATTTTCTTTGTCAGACTTTAAACGAAAGAGATATTACACATGATCAGTCCTTCCAGTTACAGGCTATGTAGTTGAAAAAGATACACATGAACATGGAGAAGGGAATCACAATAAGTAGCATTAGGAGGCAAATTGAGTAACCAATTCACATCAGTCATTACTAGCCACCAATTGCTAATTTCATTCTGCCAACATATAATATATATGCATGAAAAATGAAACAGCGAACCCTGACCTTGGGAATTGTGACAATCACCTAATTCTTTCCTCAAATCCTTTATGGCTCAGTGCAACTGTAACATTCCTTATGTGGCTAATCTTCATTACATCTTCACCGTATTCATCTGAATCTCTCATCTGCCCGAGCTTCTTTATCAGCTCTTCTGACGTGTCTTTCAGAATTAATTTCTCAAGGGCTGCAAGGTGTTCAATGCCATCTGGAAGAAACTTTAGCTCAGGACAGTCTGTGAACCATACCTCAGCAAGGATTTTTAGCGCACTCTCTTCTATTCTAACTTGGTTGAGTTGTGCTGCGCCCCATATATGTAGAAATCGAAGTTTTGGAAATGACCCTGCGCAAAATTCCAACCTCGTCCCTTCAAAAGCCTTCATTACCTCAAGAAAGTGTAGACCACGTAACATACGCAGACAGGAAAAGGTTTGCTCATCAATATTGGAGAATGCCAGGTGCAATCGAGTAAGGCTATCAAGGTGTGACCAAGAAGAGAAAAGCTGAGGTATCGATGTTTTTTCTAGCTGCCCTGCTAAACCAAGCGAAGAAAGGGTTGGAGGTAAATATAGACCTTCAAACTGCAGCAGCTCATTCTCAGTTGCAGCAACAATTTCGAGATGAACAAGATGGCTCATTTTGGTGATAGTGTTACTCAAGCAAGCAGAGTTTTCACTTCTCACGTTGCAGACACCGAATGTTCTTAGCTCTGTCAGAGCTGCAACTTCAAGCAGAAACTCTGGAGTGGCTTGGACAGACTGAAGAGCCTGCAGTCCTGCCAACTGTTGTATGCCATTAGGCACCTTGACTCCACCTAGATTTCCAATTTCAAATTCCTCAGATGCAACCACAGACCACGCATACAGGTATCTCAGCTTCTTAAGTTTTACAACACTGTTTGGCAAATACGTCAACTTAGATTTGGAAGCATCCAAGACTTCCAGGTTTTGCAACCTCCCTACTGCTTCAGGCAGGCTTTCCATCCCAGTATCTCTAAGACCCAAATAACGCAGATTAAACAAGTTGAATACCTCACTGGGCAGCATTTTGATACAGGTACCTTGAAGATCCAACATCGTCAGCAGTTTCGAAGATGTTAGGATAGTCTTCAGCAAATCGACCTCGATATACCTCTCAAATACATAGAGTGCACGGAGATGTGTTGTGCCAGATCGGCTCAGTTGTTCAAGATTTCCCCCATGGACCGATACGCGATGTGCACCCTCTACAGAGAATGCTCTAGTAGCAGAGCCATTATAAATTTTACCGAAGCATTCCTCCTTGGCTTTGTTGAGGGCAAGAAGGCGTATGACATCATGCATCCTGCAGTATTTCAGTCGTCCGGCATAATTCCTTTCTACTACCTATAAAAGGCTTCGGTTCACAAGCTCAGCCAAGTATCCCTCCGCCACTTCCTCCAATGTTTTGCTCTCATCTTTTTCCCTGATAAACCCCGCAGCGATCCAGAGCCTCATTGTCTTCCTCCTCTTTAATACATAATCTTCTGGAGACAATGCACAGTGTAGGAAACAATTCTTCAAATCATATGGAAGGTCCTCCAAGCTGACTTTTAGGATCATATGAGCATCGGGGATCACATCTTTCGCCAATTGTGAATCCAAACCACTGTACACATCCTCCCATTCAGCAGAAGTTGGGGGTTTCAAGGAGAGTAGGCGGCCAATGCAAGCAATAGCAATAGGCAAGCCTTGACACTTTGTTATGAACTTACGAGCCAATTCCTGCAGCTCCACCGGGCACTCTTTGTCATCAGTATTCCAAAAGGCTCCATTACAAAATAACAGCCAGGAGTGATGTTCTTGTAGCGGTTCCAAGTGAATTGCAGACTCCCTAGTTGCCAACAGTGACACCTCATGCTTTCTTGATGTGATAACAAATCGGCTGGTAAAGTTAGACGTTGGGAAGACATTCCTTATCTCCAACCACACGCGTGCAGCCCAAACATCATCCAAGACCATAATGAACTTTTTACCTTGAAGGTAATCATGGATGGACTCTGCTAGGTCTCTCATCTCAATGTCGGCGGCGTCGACTGTGATGCCGAACTGGGCGGCAATCTTCTTCAGCAGATCCTCAATATGGTAACTCTCCGACACAGTTACCCACGCCGCCGCGTCGAAATCCACTTTTACAGTGTTGTACACATGAGCAACCAGAGTGGTTTTACCAACACCAGGCATCCCCCACACCGTGGTGACTTTGCAGTTGTTCTGCTCCAGACCATGACCACTACCACCGCTGACGGTCAGCCACCGTATCAACTTCTCTTTGTTCTCCTCGATTCCCACAAGGTCCTCATCCCTGGTGAAGTGCAGAGCTTGACCTCGGCTTGTCGATCTGGCAGCAAAAGCAGATCCGCCGGTTCCTGCAACGACTGCGTAATCCTGCTTCCTCCTCTTGGCATCTTTTAGCTTGACATCGATTTCTTGGAGCTTGGCTGCTAGGCGGCGCCAGGTCTTGATATGCTTGAGCCTCTTCTTCATCTTGCCCGCAAACCCTCCATGCCTGCAGTCCTCCAGCTTGTAGGTGAACTCGTCAATGACATCCTCGATCTGGAAGGCTAGGCCCCTGACCTCGCCGACGAAGATGGCTGTGGTCTTGTCAGTGTCCTTGAACCGCTCCGCCTCCTGCAGGTAGGCCTGCATGCTCTCCAGCTCCGCCTTGGAGTCGCGGATCTTGCCGAAGAGGCCCCTGATGGCGGCGGCTTCCTTGCTGAGCAGTGCCCCGCCAAAGATAGCTGTCTCTTTCGCCAGCGCCGCACCGAGGGAGACCACCAGCTGCCCAACAACAGCCTCTGCCATGGTAGTTGATGTTTAATTTTCCAAATGATGGTTGCTTGCTGAGAGCAACTCCAACCAAGTCACCAAATCTCACTCACTGGGTACTCATTCGAGCACCAGCATCCACAGACCGCCCCCTTTTATTTCTATGTGCAGTCAAACCCATTTAGCAGATGTCACACACCTACATTTTTATCAAATTGATTCCATATAGACATCAAACCTCTGTCTGTATGTCTCTCCCCAAACACAAAATAGGCCGATGCCTCAATCATTTTTGGCTGTGATGAAGAAAGAAGCTGCAGAATCAGTAGAAACAAACAAGAGCATCAGGGACGATAGCATGAGCATCGAAACAAGTAGATCAGCAGCATCCTCTTAAGCAGCAGCAGACAAATCTGAAACCACACTCTCTGCTCTCCCACACCTCACGCAGCACCTAACAGGAGCGGGCCGCCTTCCCTCGTCTCTCTCGGCCGCCGGGCTTGCAGCCTCCCCATCTCCCAGACAGGGGCAGGCAGAGCACGGCGGCGGCGGCGGCGGCGGCGCGCGGGGATGTTAACAGCTGCTACTGGCCCCCCGCTCTTACTCTCGCTCCCCGTCCGCATCCACGCCAGGGTGGGTGGTGGCGCAGATCCGGGACGACGCGGCGGGGTGTCCGGGCGCCCGCCGGACCGGCGTCGACGCAGAGCAGGACGGCGCGGCGGCGCGAGCGAGCGAGCGAGGAAGAAGGGGAGAAGAGAACCAACCTGTAGAGTAGAGTAGAGTAGAGTAGAGCCAGATTCGATTCGATTTGCTACTCCTCTTCGGTCTTCCCCTCATTCTGCAGCGTTATTTTCTATGTTGCCCCTATATTGTGGTTTCATTTGCCCTAGTACAAAATTGTAAATATCAAAATCATTGGAGGATTGTGACAATTTCTTTGAAGAAAACAGACTTATTATTTCTATCAAGCGCCTGTTGGTTCAAAGAGAGGAGGACCCGTTATCGACGTTTAATTTGATCAGCGTCCCAACACTTGTTACCATCCCACATCATGCATCAAACGTCCACGGACCGGTTTGGACGTCCAAAACCCCATAAACCAGAAGCAAAACGGTAGGAGGCTTGCGGGCCTCTGTCACATAGGTGCTCATCTGAGCGGCCATCCGAAATCGTCGTCGCATGTTCCGCTCCAGAAGCCTCGTCACACATTCACTTCCGCTTAGAATGAACATGACAGGACGACCGCCTACCTGCATTCGTGTCGATCGGATCGATGTGACCGAACGGCTGACAGGAGCCGCTTCAATGTGAACGCGTCGATCGAGGAGCCTACTCCAGCCGATGCGTCCGCATTGAAGCGGCCTCGGTCCGCCTACCCTGGTTATTTAAGCAGGTCGGTCATCGCGCCGACAAACCCTACCACATCTCCTCGAGAAAATATTTATGCATTTTTAACAAAATTACCGGAGCAACGCGCAGGGCATCGTCTAGTTTTTATTATTATATATAGACCTTTTTTTCTGTTCCATTTTCTTTTCTTATATATATTTTGTTTAAATAAATATTAAACATTATTGACATGTAATTTAATCTTTTTTGTAAATACATGAAGTGGTTTTCAAAGACATGAACACTTCTTAAAATTACAAGAACATCCTTTCTAAATAGGTCAACATTTTTTAATATATGAACACTTTTTAAAAAGTTGCTGATTTCATAAAAAGGTGCGAACCCTTTGCAAATCAGACTAAAATTTTAATATACATGAACATTTTTAATGCTTTATTTAAGAAGTTAGGCATTACTTAAAAGCAAACATTTTCCTATGTGTGTAAATATTTTGTTTAAAACATGAATATTTTTAATTCTTTTTATTGTAGGTTTGATTACAATATATATACTTTTAAGCAAATCTCCAAAAAAGGGGGGAAAAGACGTACCTATTTGAATGGGCGGTGGCTTATCAGCGAGGCGATTACAAGGGCTGGGGGTGACGAGGACATGGCGGCCAACGCGGGCCGCGGTTGGAGGGACACGGCGGCTCGACCGGTGTTTGCTTACGGGTCGTCGAGGTGGATGACCGCTGCAGTGACGAGGGCAGACAGCAACGGTGTTTGATACGTTGATTTTATAAGCTATATATATACAGAAGAAAAGCTTTCAGTGAAACTTGAACTCAACACCAACGTTTAAATCTGTAGTACTAGTGAACTAGCTACTTACTACTTCCGACTCCGATTTTCTGCCACAAACACTCACATCACATAAGTGAAACAGTCTTCATAAATGAGACACCACACCACAGCTTGATCCATGAATGATGGCTTCTGAAGCTGGCTATGCCTCTATCAGTACCGCTAAGACTGCTCACAGTGGGGAGTAACATAGAGTAGTAACTTGCTACTCTATGTTATTATTCTATGTTACTACCTCCATACTGGGTAGTAACTTATGAGTAGTATCATGAAAGAGTTCATTTATTAGGCTATAGACTCATTATGTCTTGAAATGTGTGATGTTATAGTAACTAGCTAAGTTACCGCAAACCTCTCTCTCCTCATTAATTAGCTGTCACATAAGCAATTTTGTATTGAAATGTGTGATGTTACTAGTCAAGTTACTCCCACTGTAATTAGTCTAACAAAAATTGGCAGAACATGTACACGAAAGATACTATAACCCAGTCAGTCACAGGAGGAAGAAGTTACAATGGCATATTTTTACTTAAGCAGGCCCCGTAATCATTGTGGCCACAAACGCTGGGCTCTGTATCTCTCGTAGTTATCTTAAAACACTGCATTGAGATTCAGACTCTACCAGGAACACCAGCTTATTGGAATTATTACAGCAGAGATCTTCTGATGAAACCGCTGCTGCGGCTAGTATAGAGCATTCATTCTCTTCCCCTTTATCAAAATTTAAAACTCAACACGGAGAAAGGGTATTCACAAGCTAACATATGCACAGAAATATCACCATTGGAAAGAGCAGTGTCGGCAGTACACTAGTAGAAAACGGCTCATTTGTCCCGGTTGGTAAGGGCCTTTTGTCCCGGTTTCTAAACTGGGACTAAAGGGTCGTTACTAATGCCCTGGCCCTTTAGTCCCGGTTTAGTCCAGAACCGAGACAGATGGGCCTCCACGTGGTCTGTGCGCCGAGCCCAGGCAGGAGGGCCTTTGGTCCCGGTTGGTGGCACCAACGGGGACCAATAGGCATCCACGCGTCAGCATTTTTGTGGATGGGGTTTTTGTTTTTTTTTGAAGGGGGAGGGGGGGTTGGGGGTTTTGGGGGATTAATTTAGGTGTTTCATATATTGTGTTAGCTAGCTAATTAATAGAGAGAAGTGTCCTCTCTTATGTCCGTGCTTGGTCAACGCTACGTACTATACATACGTATAGAGAGGACTAGACACGCTAGCTAGCTAGTAAGCAAACGAAGGAAACAGAAGATCGTCATGAACATATATGCATACAGAGAGAAGTGATATCGACCACCTCTCCTTCTCCGAGAGATTGGTCGAACAACAAGTTCTCGTATATCTATCCGACACTACCGGCTACATATATACAACAATTATCTCTTACAAATATAATCTCCTAACATATGGACGCATGGTCCACATAGTATTCTTCGTCTTCAGCGATCACGTGGTAAGAAAGAATGCCGCCAATTCCTCTTGAATTGCTCGCATGCGATCTGGTGCTAGGAGTTCATCCTGCATCCGGAACATCTAATTTGAAGAAGGGGGTCAATACATATATATATATATATATGAATGAATGAAACTCAACACAAATGATGGTAATAAAAAAAATTGTGAATATTGTTATTTACGCACTTCATATTGTTTGTCAGAGTAGCCCCGCTCACAGGTCGTGTGACGGATGGACTCGCAAACGTAGTATCCACGGAAATCATTCCCTTGTTCCTGCCACAACCACTTTACAAGAAATAGAGGTCAATCAAACTGATAAGCAAGAATGCCAAATGGTATTGATGAAACTAGCGCTTGAATCACTAGGAGATGCGCGGAACATGCTACTATAGTACTTACTTTCGGGTGTCTAAATTCCAGCTTCTTCGGCAGTGCTGGAGCTTTTTTGGTGAATTTTCTCCAAACCCTGCGAGACAAAGAAAACAATTACTTGATATCAGAAATGAACAAAGTTGCTGATATGGTGTATAATGATCGATTTAGCTTACTTCTCGAGCATTTGAATCATGTCCGCATACTCTTGGGGATCTTTTCGTTTCGAGTCTAAGACACTTACTACTCCCTGCTTCAGCTTAATCTCTAGGAGAATATAGTGGAACCTGCACACGCATGCATAACTCATCAATTACATTGCTATAACCTGGACTAATATATAAGGGAAACCGAATATGCACAAGACAGTAACACTCACTTGAAGTTGTAAGGAAAGAGTATTATATCTTTGTTTTCATTTATTACCAACGATCGTAGCAAGTTGGCCTCGGTATCTTCGGCATGAAATTTAACCTCAGTTGCATCTATGAGATTTGTGTTAATGAACCCAATATCATCGACTTGTCTTTTCTTCAATTCGACGATCTTCAATCTGCATAATATAGTGAGGATAATTATAAATACATGCAATGAAAGAGTTGACCTATATAGAGAGACTTAATGATAGAAGTAGTACTACTTACAGACAGTAGCAGGTGACTGTTGCTTTATCGAGGGTCAATTGATTGAAAAGCTGAAAGAACTCCTCAAATGGAACATGCAATAGTTCAATTTCAACGAGGTCATGCTCCTTTTTAACTCTCAGATACAAAGTATTTCTCCCCCCAGACTCTCTGCAGGTTTTCATGTACCAATCATGCAATCTTCGCATCATCGTTGATAGATATCTTTCATCTTTGACGAGAGGCTTCCCGTACTCGTATCTGTCTATCTGCACCTCCAAGAAATCATAATTTACATCGTCGGGCAGGTAATCTCCAAGATTGCTATAACCGGGCACCATCTTCGGATCATTAGCGACGATGTCGCTAGGCACCTTGAGCTGGGG